AGCAAAACACGTCAAATGACTCCTGGGCATGGGGGCAGCCTTTCCCATCAGTGTCTCCAGGGGGCTCTCATTCGGGGTGTGCTGGGCACCCGGGGGGCCCAGCTGTGCTCGTGCCCTTCTCTCAGGGGACCCAGGGCAGACCCCGCCCTGGCCTTGTGCTGACTGATGCCCAGGACTGGCTGCTGAAGAGCACAGGATGACGTCCTGGGAGAAGGCCTCACACCAGCCACGAGGCAACAACAGGTGCCAGAGGAAAACAGGCTTTTCTTTTAGTGCAGTAGGGCTGCCCTATTGGCACTAAAGCAGGGTGTCACCCAGGGGAGCCCAAGATAGTGAGAGGGTGCTGTGTGCATCCCCAGCTCGGCCTGCGGGCCACACTTTGGGTCCCGGAGCCTGCTCTGCTCTCCTCGGAGGCCCTGCTGTGCCAGTCCTGGGGCTTCCCTGCCGCCTCTGCCCTCTGTGTGCCTGCTCCTCCTCTGCAGCCCCCTGGTTGGACTCTGCCTCCCTCGGCTGGTCTGGTTCAGTTCTGCACATGTTGTGTGCTCTGTGTGCCCTCTGAGGTGTCAGGCTGCTGGAGGCGTTTGTGATGTGGATGCCTGCTAGCCCTGCGGCCAATCACCTGGACTCCCCAAGCTGCGGTTCCCTAGTCTGGGAGAACAGGGATCCATGACCATGTGAGGTTTAGTGAGAAGGCCCAGTGATTCTCTGACGGCCCTCGGGGGGCCTGCAGGGCCACCTGACAGGACACCAGGTTCCCGCCCTTGACCCTGAGGGAGCACTCATGTGGCTCTGGGTCTCTGTATCTGGAAGTGTATTAAAGCCACAGATGGCACATGGTAGAAGCATTTGGTGAGCCTTATTTCTTATCCTTGCCCAAGACACCTGAACCCTGCTACGTCAGCTTCCGGGCACAGTAAGGTGCGGTCACACCTTGGAGCTCGGCAGCTTCCTGGCATCCACTGCTTCGCAGGAGGGTGCTTGGCTGCCATGGCTGCTTGCTTTGAGTCAGTCCTCTCCTAGTTAATCAACAGCTGCATCGCGCTTGAAGCTGTGCTGTGTGACCCCAGGACTGCTCTCCCCGGGACTCGCTTTCCTGAGTCCCCACAGATGCCAGGGCTGGCTTTTCTGGTGCAGTGGACCTGGTATTAGTGCAGAGACCATTCTGGTTCCTTCTTCCCTCCTTGGAAGCAGGAAAAGGGAAATGTGGCAAAAAGAATTGGGGGCCAAAGCACAGAGATTAATCACAACTCCACACACTAAAAAGCTGGGAAACAGCTCCAAACTCTTTTTGCTATTTTTTGTTTTGATTTCAGTTTGGGAATTCCCGACTGAGGTCCCTTTGGGCCCATCTGGGGTTCATGGTAGACCCTGGACCAGATGTGGACCTGTCCTGCTTTCACCCTCTCAGAGCCTCCCCTCTCAGATGGAAGACAAACAGTACCTGTAGCCATTGCCTATCTGAACACGTGTTGATTCCTGACATTTATTTTAAACTTTCATTATTTTAAAATGCATTTATCTATACTTCTCAACCTCCCCCCTAGCTCCCACAAGCATTTGGTGGGTGGGAGCTTGGCACTCACACTTCATACCCATTCTAATGGTGTGTGCCTGTTGGGCTCCTATATGTGGTTTGATAAGGCCTCAATTCCACTCCAAGCTTATAAACGATGTTGCAATTTGCACTTGCTTCATTCTTTCATCCCTTGTAACTATTGTTGTAAGGATGAATAACGACAGTATCCCAGATGGAGTAGATGGTGGTGCTGACCCACTGTTGGGTCTGTGCTGTGTTATTTGGAGGCCTGGGGGGTAACTGGGGTGCTTCCTGGTCTGGGCAGGATATCAGGCTATCGGACCACTTGCACCTGGGGTCTGAGTCTTCCATAAGCTCTGTGTCTTCCAGACTGTCTGCCTTAAATGTTCAGAAAGTAGTGTATGTTCCTTAAGCAGCCCCCTACCTAGGGAAAAAGTTCTTAGGGTCATTATAGACCAAGGATGACAGAACAGCAGTCTGCACTGAGAACCTTCCAGTCTGAGGTCTGTGGATAACCTTGCCTCAGGGCGTGCTCAGACCTGGGTGGGTACTAGGAAGTGTCGCTGTGCAGCACTGTTCTGCCTTCACAGTGGACTGTGCGGAGGCTTCTACTCGCCATTTTGTGGCCCAGATGGTGAGAATGCCAGCCAAGCCATGTGCTTGGATGTTCCTTTCCATCTCATCAATAAATCCAGTGTTTTGGGCAAGTGTGTGACTGAGCCATCCTTGGGGTTTGACCAAGGTCAGGAAATGACTGGTGAGAGCAATTAGTAAGGATGGGTGTTTAAAAATAAATGGCAAGAAAACCAGTGAGCACAAAGGACTTTCTGTAATTTAAAAAAAAAGGGAATATGCATCTCTCTGCTCCCAAAGGTCCTAAAATCGGTTATTGAGAAGGGCTCCATCTTGTTTTCCACTCCACCCTCCTTCCCTGTTACCAAACACCCCCAAAGACTGAGCTGGTCTAAAATCTGGGTGCCTTGGCTACATTTTTAAAATAGTAGCACAATGCTGCTGTGATCACATAAAACCATATTTTCACTGTCATTTCTAACTTGTAATAGGGCTTGGTAATTACACAGTGCTTTCCATTAGCAAGTCTGTAAACACATTATAAATGTTAACTCTTCAATTCTCCTGATGCCTCCACAGAGAGGGAGAAACTGCACGTGCCTCTGTGGGTTAGCTGTATGTTTGGTCTGGTTACATCTGCTCAAGGTGTTCTTTCCTGTGTGTGATGGAGGTAGTTGAGGAACATCTGCTCTCAAGAATGATGTTCTGCAGCAGCAGACTCCCAGAACCCAAGAATGGACTAACAGTTACCAACGGGAAAGGGACTCTGGAAGGTGGGTGGGAAGGGAGGGATAAGGGGATTAAAGGGCATTATGATTAGCACACATAATACAGGGGGGGCACAGGGAAGGAAGTATAGCACAGAGAAGACAAGTAGTGACTCTATAACATCTTGCTATGCTGATGGACAGTGACTGTAAAGGAGTATGTGGTGGGGACTTGATAATAGGGGGAATGTAGTCACCACAATGTTGCTCATGTGAAACATGAGCATAAGATTGTGTATCAATGATACCTTAATAAAAAAAAGAAAAAAGAAGAATGACGTTCTGTGCTGCCAAATGAAAAACCTCAAAGTATGCACAGAAGCAAGAATCTTCTGACTTTTGCAAGCAGATGCCCGTAGCCTCTATCGTTTAGCCAGTTGTTATGATTCTGACTACGGGTTGGATTGCTGAAATCCTTAGAAAACTTGTTACTGATGTGCATTATCTGCTCCTGACATTTAAAAGGAGAAATTCATCACTGCTGCTTTGGCAGTAATTTTTATGCCTTTTTGTTATTTCTTTTAAAAAGTTATTTCTTCCTAAGATCTGCTTTTTTTTCTTCTTTTATAGCCATAAGAATGGAATACTAAATAACGTTGAAATTTATACGAGTGAATTTCAAAAGCCGGATTAGACTGGGAGGAGACTTATGGAATGGAACACAATAACTATTGTACTGTTTTAAATTTCTTTAGCCATAGCTTCAATACATTGCTTCAGTTAACCAACATGATTTCAATTTATTATGCAAATCTAACAATTATTCCATTAAAAATCTGCTGGAAAGATTGCATACTTTGTTTTCTGCAGCACAGTAAATGGTGAGTGTTCCATTTTTGTTTTTGGATTCACTTGTTTTGTCCCTAATGACAAACCGTTTAAAGCAAAAGTCTTTAAAGTGGCAGAATAATGTGGTAACATGTCTTCACTGGTAATTTAATACTTGGATATAATGAGTTCATCAAAGATATTTCATTAAAAACAGCAAGGTGCCTGAATACCAAAGCTGAGATGTTTTTAATCACAGAATTATAGTAATTATACAAATTCCAAGATTTTCATCAGACAGAAAAGGCTTCCAGGGCTAAGCATGCACTTAAACAGAGCACTAATAACTGCATATTGTTCTAAATTACAGGAGACAGAAACCTCAGGCCAGGCGGAATATTGGAGAGAATGTTTTGCATTAAAGTTTTAAGGAAAATTGAGAAATAAACTGTTTTGATAACATAATGGTATCTGTAAGAGGCATGTCAGAGTAACAGAAGAGGAACCTTATGTGTGGGCATAGTGCGCAGTAGGTGAATATTCAGACAAAGTCAGTGAGCCCGTTACTGTTTCCTGTGTTTTCGGCATGGAGAGGGTGCTAGAAGGGACACCTCTCTCTTCTCTCAGGGGACCTGAAGTTGCTGATTGACTGGAGTCCTTTCTCCAGTCATAAATAGAGTAGACCACTGGTGTATGAGGCCATACTGGCCCACAATCTGGATTTCTGGGTCGAGTGAAGACCATGTAAAGAATAATTTAGTTAGGGTAGGGATTATTAAAGATTTTGAATTTTTATAAAAGGACCAGCACACGGTACCCTCAGGGAGTTTGTTTTTAAAAGACGTGATATAAAGAGAAACATCTAGGAAGACTTTATAAACATTTCCCTGAGCAAGAAATTTTGTTTGATGTATTTTCTACTTACCATTCTTTCTTTTCCCTGGCTCAGGTGGGAAGAGGGAGATGGGGACCGGGGCTTAGGGAAAGAGTGGGCTGCAGGGTGTACATGATGGGCGGCAGAGCAGGGAGGCAGTCAGGATGGCTCCGCGTTCATCACAGGGGTCTGGAGGCCAGGCATGGAGCGTGTATCTGCATGAAAGGCCCTGTGATTCGCCTGGATTCCCGAGCAGCAGCCAGGATGCGGGGCTCCTCTGGAGGCTGGAGCAGAGGCATGCCTGAGATCGGAGCTCTGACAGGCAATACCTCTGCTCTCCATTCTCGCAGCCCCACCCCTTGTTATGGTAAACTCCTCACCCCATCTGCAAGCAGAATTGGGGAGCTGGCAGGGACAATGGTCCCCTGATTCCTTCTGACTATGTTCTCCCCATTGACTGTGTGCATATTTGAACTTCCAGGTGCTTCCTCATCAGAAACCTTGAAACTGTTTGGTGCCAGCTCTCAGCCTGTGCTGAATGTGTGCGTACAGGTAAGCACGAGTGGGCCTCACCTCTCACCCCCACCCATGCTGTTGCAGGCCCTGGCTGAAGTCCCTGTCTGCAACTGTAGTGTCTTTAAAGTTTTGCTTTTTCCCTTTAGACCACCAAATAATACGAGCCTGTGGAAAATTTACAAGATACAGACAAATATAGAGAAGCAGAAAACCCCCGTTATTAATCCTTCCATCTAGATAGAATGCACTTTTTGCCATATTTTCTTCCAGTCTTTTCCTGGCATCCTTTGTTTTGCATATGTGTTACTCTGGAGATGCATATTTGCATCTGATTTACAAACAACTAACAACATTTAATCACTGGTCATGCACTTGGACTCTGCCTCCCTCGGCTGGTCTGGTTCAGTTCTGCACATGTTGTGTGCTCTGTGTGCCCTCTGAGGTGTCAGGCTGCTGGAGGCGTTTGTGATGTGGATGCCTGCTAGCCCTGCGGCCAATCACCTGGACTCCCCAAGCTGCGGTTCCCTAGTCTGGGAGAACAGGGATCCATGACCATGTGAGGTTTAGTGAGAAGGCCCAGTGATTCTCTGACGGCCCTCGGGGGGCCTGCAGGGCCACCTGACAGGACACCAGGTTCCCGCCCTTGACCCTGAGGGAGCACTCATGTGGCTCTGGGTCTCTGTATCTGGAAGTGTATTAAAGCCACAGATGGCACATGGTAGAAGCATTTGGTGAGCCTTATTTCTTATCCTTGCCCAAGACACCTGAACCCTGCTACGTCAGCTTCCGGGCACAGTAAGGTGCGGTCACACCTTGGAGCTCGGCAGCTTCCTGGCATCCACTGCTTCGCAGGAGGGTGCTTGGCTGCCATGGCTGCTTGCTTTGAGTCAGTCCTCTCCTAGTTAATCAACAGCTGCATCGCGCTTGAAGCTGTGCTGTGTGACCCCAGGACTGCTCTCCCCGGGACTCGCTTTCCTGAGTCCCCACAGATGCCAGGGCTGGCTTTTCTGGTGCAGTGGACCTGGTATTAGTGCAGAGACCATTCTGGTTCCTTCTTCCCTCCTTGGAAGCAGGAAAAGGGAAATGTGGCAAAAAGAATTGGGGGCCAAAGCACAGAGATTAATCACAACTCCACACACTAAAAAGCTGGGAAACAGCTCCAAACTCTTTTTGCTATTTTTTGTTTTGATTTCAGTTTGGGAATTCCCGACTGAGGTCCCTTTGGGCCCATCTGGGGTTCATGGTAGACCCTGGACCAGATGTGGACCTGTCCTGCTTTCACCCTCTCAGAGCCTCCCCTCTCAGATGGAAGACAAACAGTACCTGTAGCCATTGCCTATCTGAACACGTGTTGATTCCTGACATTTATTTTAAACTTTCATTATTTTAAAATGCATTTATCTATACTTCTCAACCTCCCCCCTAGCTCCCACAAGCATTTGGTGGGTGGGAGCTTGGCACTCACACTTCATACCCATTCTAATGGTGTGTGCCTGTTGGGCTCCTATATGTGGTTTGATAAGGCCTCAATTCCACTCCAAGCTTATAAACGATGTTGCAATTTGCACTTGCTTCATTCTTTCATCCCTTGTAACTATTGTTGTAAGGATGAATAACGACAGTATCCCAGATGGAGTAGATGGTGGTGCTGACCCACTGTTGGGTCTGTGCTGTGTTATTTGGAGGCCTGGGGGGTAACTGGGGTGCTTCCTGGTCTGGGCAGGATATCAGGCTATCGGACCACTTGCACCTGGGGTCTGAGTCTTCCATAAGCTCTGTGTCTTCCAGACTGTCTGCCTTAAATGTTCAGAAAGTAGTGTATGTTCCTTAAGCAGCCCCCTACCTAGGGAAAAAGTTCTTAGGGTCATTATAGACCAAGGATGACAGAACAGCAGTCTGCACTGAGAACCTTCCAGTCTGAGGTCTGTGGATAACCTTGCCTCAGGGCGTGCTCAGACCTGGGTGGGTACTAGGAAGTGTCGCTGTGCAGCACTGTTCTGCCTTCACAGTGGACTGTGCGGAGGCTTCTACTCGCCATTTTGTGGCCCAGATGGTGAGAATGCCAGCCAAGCCATGTGCTTGGATGTTCCTTTCCATCTCATCAATAAATCCAGTGTTTTGGGCAAGTGTGTGACTGAGCCATCCTTGGGGTTTGACCAAGGTCAGGAAATGACTGGTGAGAGCAATTAGTAAGGATGGGTGTTTAAAAATAAATGGCAAGAAAACCAGTGAGCACAAAGGACTTTCTGTAATTTAAAAAAAAAGGGAATATGCATCTCTCTGCTCCCAAAGGTCCTAAAATCGGTTATTGAGAAGGGCTCCATCTTGTTTTCCACTCCACCCTCCTTCCCTGTTACCAAACACCCCCAAAGACTGAGCTGGTCTAAAATCTGGGTGCCTTGGCTACATTTTTAAAATAGTAGCACAATGCTGCTGTGATCACATAAAACCATATTTTCACTGTCATTTCTAACTTGTAATAGGGCTTGGTAATTACACAGTGCTTTCCATTAGCAAGTCTGTAAACACATTATAAATGTTAACTCTTCAATTCTCCTGATGCCTCCACAGAGAGGGAGAAACTGCACGTGCCTCTGTGGGTTAGCTGTATGTTTGGTCTGGTTACATCTGCTCAAGGTGTTCTTTCCTGTGTGTGATGGAGGTAGTTGAGGAACATCTGCTCTCAAGAATGATGTTCTGCAGCAGCAGACTCCCAGAACCCAAGAATGGACTAACAGTTACCAACGGGAAAGGGACTCTGGAAGGTGGGTGGGAAGGGAGGGATAAGGGGATTAAAGGGCATTATGATTAGCACACATAATACAGGGGGGGCACAGGGAAGGAAGTATAGCACAGAGAAGACAAGTAGTGACTCTATAACATCTTGCTATGCTGATGGACAGTGACTGTAAAGGAGTATGTGGTGGGGACTTGATAATAGGGGGAATGTAGTCACCACAATGTTGCTCATGTGAAACATGAGCATAAGATTGTGTATCAATGATACCTTAATAAAAAAAAGAAAAAAGAAGAATGACGTTCTGTGCTGCCAAATGAAAAACCTCAAAGTATGCACAGAAGCAAGAATCTTCTGACTTTTGCAAGCAGATGCCCGTAGCCTCTATCGTTTAGCCAGTTGTTATGATTCTGACTACGGGTTGGATTGCTGAAATCCTTAGAAAACTTGTTACTGATGTGCATTATCTGCTCCTGACATTTAAAAGGAGAAATTCATCACTGCTGCTTTGGCAGTAATTTTTATGCCTTTTTGTTATTTCTTTTAAAAAGTTATTTCTTCCTAAGATCTGCTTTTTTTTCTTCTTTTATAGCCATAAGAATGGAATACTAAATAACGTTGAAATTTATACGAGTGAATTTCAAAAGCCGGATTAGACTGGGAGGAGACTTATGGAATGGAACACAATAACTATTGTACTGTTTTAAATTTCTTTAGCCATAGCTTCAATACATTGCTTCAGTTAACCAACATGATTTCAATTTATTATGCAAATCTAACAATTATTCCATTAAAAATCTGCTGGAAAGATTGCATACTTTGTTTTCTGCAGCACAGTAAATGGTGAGTGTTCCATTTTTGTTTTTGGATTCACTTGTTTTGTCCCTAATGACAAACCATTTAAAGCAAAAGTCTTTAAAGTGGCAGAATAATGTGGTAACATGTCTTCACTGGTAATTTAATACTTGGATATAATGAGTTCATCAAAGATATTTCATTAAAAACAGCAAGGTGCCTGAATACCAAAGCTGAGATGTTTTTAATCACAGAATTATAGTAATTATACAAATTCCAAGATTTTCATCAGACAGAAAAGGCTTCCAGGGCTAAGCATGCACTTAAACAGAGCACTAATAACTGCATATTGTTCTAAATTACAGGAGACAGAAACCTCAGGCCAGGCGGAATATTGGAGAGAATGTTTTGCATTAAAGTTTTAAGGAAAATTGAGAAATAAACTGTTTTGATAACATAATGGTATCTGTAAGAGGCATGTCAGAGTAACAGAAGAGGAACCTTATGTGTGGGCATAGTGCGCAGTAGGTGAATATTCAGACAAAGTCAGTGAGCCCGTTACTGTTTCCTGTGTTTTCGGCATGGAGAGGGTGCTAGAAGGGACACCTCTCTCTTCTCTCAGGGGACCTGAAGTTGCTGATTGACTGGAGTCCTTTCTCCAGTCATAAATAGAGTAGACCACTGGTGTATGAGGCCATACTGGCCCACAATCTGGATTTCTGGGTCGAGTGAAGACCATGTAAAGAATAATTTAGTTAGGGTAGGGATTATTAAAGATTTTGAATTTTTATAAAAGGACCAGCACACGGTACCCTCAGGGAGTTTGTTTTTAAAAGACGTGATATAAAGAGAAACATCTAGGAAGACTTTATAAACATTTCCCTGAGCAAGAAATTTTGTTTGATGTATTTTCTACTTACCATTCTTTCTTTTCCCTGGCTCAGGTGGGAAGAGGGAGATGGGGACCGGGGCTTAGGGAAAGAGTGGGCTGCAGGGTGTACATGATGGGCGGCAGAGCAGGGAGGCAGTCAGGATGGCTCCGCGTTCATCACAGGGGTCTGGAGGCCAGGCATGGAGCGTGTATCTGCATGAAAGGCCCTGTGATTCGCCTGGATTCCCGAGCAGCAGCCAGGATGCGGGGCTCCTCTGGAGGCTGGAGCAGAGGCATGCCTGAGATCGGAGCTCTGACAGGCAATACCTCTGCTCTCCATTCTCGCAGCCCCACCCCTTGTTATGGTAAACTCCTCACCCCATCTGCAAGCAGAATTGGGGAGCTGGCAGGGACAATGGTCCCCTGATTCCTTCTGACTATGTTCTCCCCATTGACTGTGTGCATATTTGAACTTCCAGGTGCTTCCTCATCAGAAACCTTGAAACTGTTTGGTGCCAGCTCTCAGCCTGTGCTGAATGTGTGCGTACAGGTAAGCACGAGTGGGCCTCACCTCTCACCCCCACCCATGCTGTTGCAGGCCCTGGCTGAAGTCCCTGTCTGCAACTGTAGTGTCTTTAAAGTTTTGCTTTTTCCCTTTAGACCACCAAATAATACGAGCCTGTGGAAAATTTACAAGATACAGACAAATATAGAGAAGCAGAAAAACCCCGTTATTAATCCTTCCATCTAGATAGAATGCACTTTTTGCCATATTTTCTTCCAGTCTTTTCCTGGCATCCTTTGTTTTGCATATGTGTTACTCTGGAGATGCATATTTGCATCTGATTTACAAACAACTAACAACATTTAATCACTGGTCATGCACATTTTCCCTAAACCTCGTGAGAGGTCTTCTGAATACTGATTGTCCTAGTGAACATGAGGGTGCTGTTATCTTGATTAAAAGTTCCTGCTGTTTGGTCCTTCCCCAGGTCCCTGCTTGTCGTCCGCTGCACATCTGGAGGCCTGTGATGGGAATGAGGGTGAGCACCTGGAGGTTTCCCCTGACTCATCGCTCTGCCTGGGACATCATACTTTAGAAGCAGGACAGCTGCTCCACGAGGTGGTTGACTCCAAGGGCCAAGACGCCCTGTAGAAGGAATGGATGAAGGCCATTCATGAAGACCACGCCGCCTGCGGTCTAGTTCGGGGAGGCCGGGCCGCGAGGACGCCACCAGTCCCGGGTGCACTGCGACTGCTGAGTGGCGATGGTGCGCCGGGGGCTGCTCGCGTGTGTCTCCCGGGTCGTGCTCCTCCCGGTGCTGCTCTGCTGCGCCATCTCCGTCCTCTACATGCTGGCCTGCACTCCGAGAGGCGACGACGAGCAGCGCGCGCTGCCCAGGGCCAGTGGCCCCACGGGCAAGGAAGGGTACCAGCTGCAGGAGTGGGAAGAGCAGCAGCGCAACTACGTCAGCAGCCTCAAGAGGCAGATCGTGCAGCTCAAGGAGGAGCTGCAGGAGAGGAGCGAGCAGCTCAGGGGTGCCCAGGACCGCGCCAGTGACGCCGCGGGTCTGGGCCCGGACCAGGGCGCCCCTGAGAAAACCCAGGCTGACCTGCTGGCCTTCCTGCACTCCCAGGTGGACAAGGCAGAGGTGCACACCGGCGCCAAGCTGGCCACCGAGTACGCCGCGGTGCCTTTCGATAGCTTCACGCTGCAGAAAGTGTACCAGCTGGAGACGGGCCTGACCCGCCACCCCGAGGAGAAGCCCGTGAGGAAGGACAAGCGGGATGAGCTGGTGGAAGCTATTGAATCAGCCTTGGAGACCCTGAACAGCCCTGTGGAGAACGGCCCGAATCAGCGGTCGTACACGGCCTCGGATTTCATTGAAGGTTGGCAAATTTGTGAATTGGGGTGGAAAATAGAAGAAAAGGCCCCTGGGCCCAGGCACCCAGTAGGTCCTAGTCTCAGGAGTCCAGCAGGGGGCTTCGGGGATGGCTGGGGTGGGGGGAAGTTTTATGTGGGCAACACCAAAGGTCGATGGTGCGAATCTTTATTCTCCAGAAACGCCTGTCTCGGCTGTCTGGTCAAGGAAAGCACAGCCCTTGAGTGGGCAGCTTCACTGTGGCTTGGCAGAAGGTAGAACTTCCTGGCTTTCGTTTTTTAAAAATGAACCAAATATATAGAACTTTGAAACCTAATAGAGAATGATAGGCTTTAATTTGTCCCTTCTCCAGCCCATCTAGAGATTGGGCCCGATTTTCAGGCCTATGAACAGAATAATAGTAACCATGTGCCAGGTACTGTTCTAGGAACTTTACACTTACTAATTTAATTCACTTTCTCCTCAGACTGACCCCATTAGGGGGTGAAGAAATTGAAGTTCAGGTTAATTAAGTAAATTACCTAAGTTTCCTCAGTTAGGAAGTGACAGAGCAAGGATTTGAACCTGGGAAGTCTGATTCCGTGGTCTTAAGCTCTAGGTTATGTTACACAGATTGTCTGGGTTCCTGGAAACTAATGAGATGAAAGCCTGTCCTTTTTTCATGGATGCAGGAAACCCTGCTATTAGTTTGTGTTTGTATCTAAGTTTAGAAGAAAGTGGCCTTGTCTAGTTTCTTGGAAGACTCATGAGTAACTGCTTCTTACCAATTTTCCCATTGTTACTAGTTCAAAAATCAACTGATAATTTGGGCGAGAAAGTGCCTCGGCGGACAGCCAGTTCTTCCCATTTCTGGGTAGAATCTACTCCAACTTCCCAGACATGAGGGTGTGTCCACATCATCCTGTCCCTGCACTGGCCGTGACACCTCATGGGCCTGCTGGGATCAGAAACCCTCCGGCCGCTGCCTATGCCTGTTCTCTTTGGACACTTTCCCTTATGATATTTTCTACTTTGTATGCGAACCATAAATTCATGCAATTTAGTGTAGTGTCATTTGTCACATACCTAGAGCTAAGTAAAGAAATCTTTTACAAGAGCAAGCGTTTGGTGTCAGGATTTAAAAAAAACCTCATTTATGTGAGCTGCTAAAAACACCTAGCACATTCATTAGCTGGCAGGTGTAAGTATCGGGTGAGTACTCAGGGCGAGTGGAAGTACCACAATGCAGTGGCATCGCGTTCTACAGTGTTTTAGAGCACCTGAAGCCTTTCCACGTACATCATCCTCCTAGCTGGCCCCGGAATGTGCTGTAAGAGCTGCCCACATGCAAAGCCATTTGAAAGAGCTTGATTACCTATCAGAGCCTGCAGTTTGGAATGTTTGCCCTTGTGATTTTTAATCTGCCTCCATATTTGAAATTTCTGCCTACTTTTCTCTGTACAGCATTTTAGGGCCTGTTGTTCTCGATAGGTGGTGACGTAGGCCTCTTGTCTCTGGGTTTATTGGCTCTGCGGTGAGGCTGACTTCCCATTAGGGACACGGTTCCATAGCTGCCCAATGCTGCTCTCATGGGTGCTACACAGCCTGTGTTTTGAGGCCAAACTTTGTGAAGGTCTGGTCAGCTGTTTTCATACGATGAGTAAATAGACACTATAAATAGACATACTTATACATATTTGACTGTCATAAGAAGCACAGCTTATTTCATTTTTCATTCTTACCACAAAAGATTGTGCAGGCTATGTTTTATATTCTCAGGAAATGGGGCATTTTCAGCATTTCCTCTAGTCAGAGGGAGCTGCAGGGAGGTAGAGTAAATTCAGCATATGGAGAAGCTTTTACATAGTGATGTTTCAACAAGGTGGAAGTCCTGTCACCCGCTGGAGGGTCCCATGGTCAGGCTGTAACCCCCGATTCTAGCATCAGGAAGGCGGGTGGACTGGATCACGTTTGAGGACCTTTTCAGTCCTGGTTTGCGATTCTTAGACCTATACCTAGTGAAGGAGAAAGAATGGAATGGAAACGGTCTGATTGGAAATCTGTTTTCTATAATGAGTTAGAACCTGGGGACCTTGTCAGAGTGAAGTATATATATATATATATTTAAAATTCAGATAGAGTTGATAGATGATATATTGGTTTCAGGTGTACAACATAATGATTCAATTATATACATTACAAAATGGGGGTGAAGTAGATCTTTCAAATAATTTATTTAGGTTTCTAAAAGGAAATCAAACCTTTATATTGATTTTGTGTTTACAGTGTCAGTGGTCCAAAAGCTGGAGCAGTTTAGTGGAAGCCCATGGAGAAAGTTCAGAGTGCAAGTGGGGGTTCCACACGCTCACTGTTCTAGATGGAAGTGACAGTTTTGTGGGACCCTAAATGTAGATGGGATTGTTTTTGTTTAAAGAAATAATAATAAAAGCCTGTGGAATGCTTCCAGATGGTAATAATTATGTAAGACCTCGGGGCAGGTGGCTTGATGGCATTTGCCTGGGATGCTGTGTGGCTTTGACCAAGACCCTGACCCTCCTTGAGACTCCGTTTCCTGATCTGTCAGTAAGAGACTCGACTTAGACATCCTCCAAGTCCTTCTCAGTCCCAGTCTTTTGCAAAATATTTCTATTCCTTTATTTTTGCTTTGCCAAGCCACCACTCCTGCTCTGCTACCCACTCTGCTGGGTGACCCAGAGCATGGCACCTACCCTTTGGGCAAATCCTCCCTAAAAGGAGGAAGTCAAATGGATTATTTGTGCAGTCTGGTCTGACTATGGCCACTTTCTACAGTTCTGTGAAGCTCGTGGGTGGAGAACAAGGTGTCGATGACTAATTTATTACCTATTGATTTAATTATCATCTATCTCTAAAACATGGAGGGAGCAACCTCGGCCTTTTCCTCTTTTCCCAAGATGTTCATTGGCACTGATTTCTGCTTTGGATTCTCACATGATAGCTTGAATTATTTTTTACAACCATCTGGGGAGAGAAGTTAAAGTAGAAAAACAAAGATCAGGTCCCATGTTTAAGGATGCCTGGCTGTTTATCTCCTCGAGTAAACTGGAAACCTCTCTTTATGTGTGTGGCTTAGCTATTCCTTCAGTGTGGGATATAGATTCCTATTTAAATCTGAGTGGCACAATTTTTGGCTTGAATTTCATGACTGTAAAAACAACTCTTGGACTGTTCGGCAGTCATAAATGTGGCATCATTCCATAAAGCAGTTCAGCTTTCTGAGTTTTTCCTCCGTTACCACCCATGACCACGTCTGCTGCCCAGCGCTCTGGGAAGCATTTGTGTCCTCTGTTGCCAGGGGTTGCTCTTCTGCCACCAGCCTGTGCAGCTCGCCCTCCTCCAGCTTTTGCGCGATTTAGCGGTGGCAAGAGTGTGTTAGATACTAAAAGAGTTGGTTTTGGGGTGAGATGGAGCCAAACCAGATCCACAGGACATTGGAGGGTTCAAGGACCCCTGGAGATGCATCCTAAACAGGATCTAGAAGCAGCTAAAACACCTTGGTAGCTGCCCTCCCAGCAAGGCCTGGTCTCCTGTGCTCCACACCCTGGACCTTGTGCTTTCTGGGAAGCTAAGACCAGCCACAAGGAGACCGAGTTTTTGACTTCTGTTCCTCGGGTCTCGCCAGGACCCCTGAGAGATGCCCTGGAGTGCTTTGCTAGAGCTTCCTTAGACGAGTCAAATGCAGTGCCATGGGCCAGTGCTTGGGGCTCTGGGGACTTCCCTGGGGGCCCTTTCCTCAGTCGGCCTTTCAGCCGTATGCTTCCTTCTCAGCCACCTTGTGACTAGGGGAGACGAGGTAAGGATTTCAGGTGCATTTCTGGGTATTTGGGGGGCTTCCGGGGGTCATGGTGTAGAAGTAAGAGGAAGCAGGGATTCTGTGGGTCTGGCATGTGTTTGAAGGGTGTGTGGATGGGAATGGAGCAGAGAGACCTGCTGGCAGGCAAGACAGCAAGAGGACTTCAGGTCCTGCGCTGGCCTCAGTTCTCAGCCAGTATCTCCAGGGCACAAGGTCCCTAGGGCTCAGGTAGGAGGAATTCTTTGTGCAGTGATGGTGAGAAGAAACTAGCCCAGCCTTGGAGTCCCCCAGTGGGCAGAGTCTGGCCTCCATTAGGACAAGCAGAGGAGCTCACGCTAGGATACATGCTCTGCTGTCACAGCATATTTTGACATTCTTGCTCCCACTCAAACAATGGACCCTACGTTTTCATTTTGCACCAGGCCCTGCAAACTAGGTTAGCATTCCTACCTCCAAGGTTGAGAGTCTGGAGGGAAAGGCAAGGAAAGAGGAAGATGGGCCAAGAAACTGAGCTGTGCCACGCTGATCCTGACACCTTGCTGAGCGTCAGCTCTGTCAACCTCCTACTGCTGGGAGAGGTGGGAGCTGAGTGTGACATACATCTGTGTGTACAGAGTATGTTGTTGCAAGATGACAGAAGTGATGTTTTGTTAGTGTTTTTATTGTACTCAAGGCAGTCCTGTTCAGGAGATTTTTTTTTTAATGGAGGTGTTTTGTTCTTCCTATGTTTCTTGTTGAGAATGTGCTATGAGAGAGTGTTGCAGCGTCCTGGGGTGTCTGGCGTGGAGGAACGTGGCATTGGCAAGAACAGTGGGCAAAGGCCTGATGGAGAAATGCCTGACTGACACCCCACAGAAGCGGGAAGGGAGTGGTGGGGGGCCCTGGGTAAGGGGCCCCTTCAACCACGATGGTTGCATAGGGGATGCTGTTCACACTCTAGCCTGCCCAGTCATGGGAATGATGCTCATAGAAAGGGTTTGTACTTTTGTTTTTTCTTAAATTAAGGTATCATTGATATACACTCTTATGAAGGTTTCCCATGAAAAACATTGTGGTTACTATATCCACCCATATTATCGAGTCACCCCCATACCCCATTGCAGTCACTGTCCATCAGTGTGGTAAGATGCCACAGAGTCACTACTTGGCTTCTCTGTGCTACACTGTCTTCCCCATAACCCCACACACACCATGTG